GATCCCCATGAATTGCGATAAATAAATGCTGATTGTGTTGAGTGACGGACGTCGGGACCGTTTGGAGAAACAAATTACGGTCGGTAGACATTTCAAACAAATGAAATTATTAATGAAAGACGAGATTATTCTAGGTATTTACGATGATACGGTCATACCAAATATATACAAAATTGACAAATACACAAAGAGGTGTAATAGTAGGTTATTTTTATTTTAGCCTTAGAAATATTTTCTTTCACTCAGTCCACGTCCATGCATGGGAATTCTATTTAGCTTCATGGTCCTTCGGCTTGTCTTCTGCTTGGGGGGAAACAACAATAATTATACAAATCGTAAACTCAACACAATCAGGAAAAGAAACCCAGACAACCATGTACTTCTGTTAAATACATTTTGTAGCAGTGTGTCACGTCGGAATATTGTCTAAAATAAAATATTCAATCCCAGCCAAATCTAGGTCAAAGGGTCAGATTGCGTGCATATAATTATAGATAGTTAAAACAAAAAGTATTTGAACTTTTGACGGTTGTTCAACATATATGCACGGTTACTAAACTAGTAATCGTGATCTGTGAAAACCAGAAAATTTTTAGTAGTCTGAATTTTTGCACGGTCGAAAATAAAACGAAAATTGACCGGTCAAAAGCAGAAGCAGTCAAGAGGTTTGGGGGAAATGAGTACAGTACTTCTTTGTTTGATGAAGTGATGCTGATGCCACATTGTCGCCATAATGAGACCACAATGAAGCGAAGCGATAATCGCCTAACTTTTTAATAACGCGACATTGATGCGACGATGAAGCCATAACAATGCCATAACGATGCGATGCTGAAGCGAAGCTGACGCTGAAGTGAAGCCAAAGCTTCCGCGAGAACTGTACTGTAGTTTGTGAGTTGTATACCCTGTCAAATTTTTGTACAGGAACGATTAATTCATGAGGACATAGTTTTCAAGTACCGGTAAATCGTTTTCCGGTCTTTGCTTGTGTAGCGATTTGCGAAATATTCACAACTCGGGGGGGGGGGGGGATTTCCCTGTGTCAATCAATTTATTCATTATATAATAGCAGGTTGCCTATGATTATATTCATATTTTTTATGTTGTGAGCATTGAACTGTTAGTGAAGATTTTGTCGATCTTGTGCGATTCAACATGGCGGATGTACAGTGACAACACGTGTATGGATGGTCGGTCGAGCAGTCTGCAACGGACCACAGTCCCTGTGGAGTTTATTTTTTGAAAACAACTGATTTTTCGATTTAAAAAAAAATCATGCCGTTTTCCCCGTCAAAATCAAAGCATATAGATCTTGCTACAACATCGGTGAATCCCATGTTGCGTTCACCACGAGGTCACTGAACCGTCATTAACATATTTAAATGAGCCACGTGTACTGAAATAACATGGCGGATAACGCATCACATTTACATTCGACCGAAATCATTCGTTTATGATGAGACTGAGTTTAATATTACTTCCAATTCATAAAAATTCAACGAATTAATTTTTTGTCTGTATTATAATCATTACTGAATAATAATAAACATATTGCAATACTTTGAAAACAAGTGAGTTATTCACTTGCGAAACACAGAATGACCAGATTGTGCTACTGTGATCATTTGCTACCGGTACTAACCACTAAGCAATGTATTTGTGTTTGTATTTATTCAAAACTTCTTTTAGAACATACTTTTTTTCGTAAACTTTACTGAATTTTTGGGGGGATTCAATTCCAACATTTCGCGATGCCTATTTTAGAACCAAATTAAGGCCTTTCCCTCTTCTCTGAGTGTGACACCTAAACGAGAGGTTTTGTGGTGTATAAACTGGCACTCAATGAAAAAGCTGTTGAACCTTATTCAAATTTATAAGT